GCTGCACATTAGAGTGGAGTCATCTGCATACATAAACAAGTTACAATTTGGTGGGATACAGGATGGCAGATCACTTGTGTAAATAATGAATAAAAACGGTCCTAATATGGAACCCTGTGGGACACCAACGGTTAGTGGCAGAACCTTTGATATGTTACCTTCAATATTTACAGACTGACTACGATTGCTTAGGTATAATTTAAACCAACCAATTAGTGAAGTAGACATGTCAAGCCTTTTCAATTTTTCCAGAAGAATTTCGTGGTCAACACGATCAAAATGCTTTACTGAGATCTACAAATACACAACCTGTAACTTCTCCATGCTCCACAGCCTGGAAACACCTATTTGTCAAATCATGGTTTCAGTTGAGTGCAAGAGTCTAAATCCTGACTGGCATCTAGGAATGAGGTTATTTTCTTCAAGGTGAGTGTATACTGACAAGTGCACTGACAAGCTTACTCACCTCACACACACATTGCACATTACCCAGCTTGGTCTTGAGAATGGTCAGGTTCTCACTGAAGGAGGCTTGGAATGTCATGCAGTAAACCCTGTCTGCAAAGCCTGGAATCTGAGACAACTCGTACAAAAACCTGCCAAAATACGGGGGAAACAAGGCAGACAACGTGATACCTTTCTTGGCAGGATAGGAATCTGCTGGAGAAAGGAGTTGTGACATGCCCCCCCCAAAAAAGCTTATGCACTTGGAAAACCCACAAAAACTTGCAGTTCATGCTGTCACTGGTATTAAGCTGCACACATTGTACAGATACAAAATCATTGACAAAGCTGAGCGCATGACCATAATGCATACAAGAAGCCTACAAGGGACGGCAGAAACACTGTGCTAGCTATTGAGGAAACCAACCAGCCCTAACCTTGACTGTACTTCATATCAAGTCTGGCAAAATACCCTGCCATAACAGGATGGGGGAGCGTCTCAAGTAAACAACACTCTCGTAAAGGTAGAAGAGCACGGATTACACAACTGACTCACTGTTCTGGCTTATCAAGTGGCTGGTCTGTTTCCTTGTCCAGATGCGCCTTGATCTTGGCCAACTCATCATCTTGGTGTCTCTGTAAAATGGGAAACACAATCGGAACAATCTTACTGTTACCTCCAGCTTCCTAAACAACTAGGATGCAATAAAGCCATGGCACATTCTTTTGTATTTCAACATTTGAGGACACATCAGGCCCCAAAAAGGTCCAACTTTATTTGAAGGATTAGGGATGGTGAGGATCCATACGATAATTTATAATTGCCTGAATTGGTGGACCATTCATTTCCATTCAAAAATGTATCAAAACCGTCAATCCCTTTAAGGAAAGTTACAGCAACACTGTATTACATACATGTATAAAGTTAATCATGGAAAAAATGAAACTGGAATATTACGTTTTTGTTATTATATGGCTGCGACCCAACAGGGTTTCAAAATATGCTTGGTAGGAAAAAGAAAGCAGGTTAAAATGGTCACTTTTGTCAGTGGCTTAGATGTTGAACACTGTACTTACAATTTCGTACAGGGACTCTAAATTCTCCAGATCTAAGATGGTTGTGTCCATGTTTAACACAGACTGGCTGATGTCAGACATTTCAACATGGAGGCTGGACATGAAGATACCGACTGCCTGGGACCGCTTGCCATCCAATAGCTTAACAGCCTGGAAGGAGACAATGAAAAAAATATTACAAAGCTTATAATACCAGTGCTGTGGTCAAGAACTTCTACTGAGTCTCAAAGAACACTGAAATATACAACGGTACGGCTTTTCGAACATATCCAATGGGGTGGCAGAAACTTCCAGCAGCTCTCACGTAATGAACATCTTTGCACACTGTCGACTTCAAAGGTTTGGACATTTATGTTGACAACCCTACCTATTACACTAGGATCATCAAAGATTTTTGAAATGCTCGTTGGCAAGCCACAGACACATTGGAAAGATATTAGGCAGTTGCAGGCTTTAACTAATGGTGACTAAACTATGCAGTGGCAGGGAATTCAAGGAAAGTTAGAGTTTCCTGGCATGTGGCATGCCAACGGGGTCGGCCCAAACAGAAGATGCCAGCAGGTAACAAAATGCCCTCTTGAGGTGAAAAGCTAGGGAAAGAATCAAGGCTCGCTTAAACTTGATGCCTTGAATCAGTTGAAACAGAAGTGTTTCGACACACTGCTACACGTCAGTAAAGCAAGGAATGAGAAATCCTCGATCGAATTCTTCAGCATTATCCAAACACCTGCTAGCCTAAAACACCTGTTAGCCCAACTTCTTCCCATTTGTGCTCACTTTGGAACCAAGTACTGGCATGGACCCTTCTTGACACCGTTAGGCACAACGCACCACACAATTCTGCCAGCTCCTAATAACGTACAAACCGACATCCCTACTGCTAACCTTGCGAGCCTTGGGTTTGTCAAAGGAGTCGGCCAGTGGCCTTTTCTTCTGGGTCAGCTTCTTACAGAACAGCTCCTCCAGCTCATCAGGGGAGATGGGCGGCTCATCAAGCTGACTCCATATCACATTATGACTACAAAGAAAGAAATGAAATCTCTGTCAATAAATATCGGCATGCACAGCCCAATTACTTGACATGGTAGACGTACTTGAAGAAGAATATACTCGTACTTAAACAACACTTGTCAAACCGGAAGTAATACCTTAAAGTTTCAGTTTCTTTGAACAGCACAGAGCAAAAAAGGTGTTCAATTATTTATGCAGGTGAGAAGTGAATACGATATTAGAATGCCTACACTGGCAATATGAAATCTTACCGATCTTTTGTCTCTGAAGTAGGCAATTTGTGAAGCTGTATGCGATTCCAGTAGAGCGGCTTCATAGGAACCTTGGGTTCAATCGCATTCTTGGCTGGCCCCTTGGGGGTTAAGGGGGTACCAATGGATGACTGGGAGGAGTGGGGACCAGTGGGAATGATAAGGCTTCCTGGCGGTGGGGGAGGTGGAGGGGGCATGACGCCGCCAGAGGCACCTGGGACTGGGGGTGGGGGAGGTGGTGGTACACTGCCTGCCAAAGGGGGTGGGGGTGGTGGTGGTGGTGGTGAAGGTATCCCACCTGGTGGAGGTGGTACAACTGCACCTCCTGGTGGTGTAGGAAGCCCTGCCAGGCTAGGAGGTGGGGGTGGAACGGGCGCACTCTGAGGATCCACCAAGGGTACCGGTGGGGGTGGGGGAGGGGGAGGCACTGCCCTCCCACCACCTGAATCCTGCAGCTCCTCAAAGAGTTCAATCTGCTTCTGCAGTGCCTGCCTGCTGCAGTCGATCCAGTCCGTATTCACCCCGACATCCATCAGGACTTTCGTCTGAGCATTGCTGCTCGGTTGCTGGGTGCTTTCCCCATACCGCAGGGAATCCTGCAGGGTGTTGAGCTGTTCCTCCAAGGAACACAGCCTGGCTGCTTGCTCCCCTCGCAACTCAAACATGGCTAGTTCGTGCTCCATCTGTTTAGAAGTAAAACCAATGCAGTGAACAACATTTGACTTATTTCTACCTCAAGATAATTTCCTTGACCGGCTATTCATACAAATTTGCATTTGCCAAGCCAAGTTTTGTGATTAACAACAGGTTACCAACGACAATATTGTGTGATGTGTATTGCTTGTGACAGGTCCCCACTTAATTTTGTTCAGCAAAAAAATCGGTATAGACATAACTTCTGCTAAGCAGCTTCATGAAATTATATCTACAGGTCACAACTGGGACAGCTGCATCTTTCCTTGAAGAAAAATAATCCACATGTAAAATGTGGTACAAAAATCCACCACAGAGACGGTCAACGCTCAACAGCAGTACAAAACATGTTTTTGCAGAGTGAATCCTTCCCACTCTTAGCAAGTTCTGCATTTATTAGCTTCACAAAATTGACTAAAAGAAATAAGCACTGTTTCATGCTTTGAGTATGGAGTTTCTGTATCAGTAATTCTCAATAACACACTGCTAATTCAATAAAGGGAAGTACATGTATCTTGGTACATAAACATGTAGCAGCAGGTGGGAGTAAATGAAGTCTCAAGACTTTGAATACCTCACCTCTATTTTCTTCAGTGCATCATTATGTTCCCTCTTCAGTCCCATGATGTATTGCTGGTGTTCTGTCAAAAACATGGGAGAACATGAATTCATACTACAGTGGAGGTGAGAGAGTTTGTACATGTGCCACAACTCATTTGGCTTGTTTGCTTGCCGTGCGGCCCTGTGAACGTTCCCACAGACATTTGGTTTTCCAAGATCTCATTTCCACAAAATGTCACTTCTGCCACTAGCTCTTGGTAGCAAAGTTTCAGGCCTGGAACACAGTGTGGAATGTCAGAGCTAAATTCCTGAATCCTGGACATTCCAAAAGGGGTCCCAACCCAGCCAAGGCAATGACAGTACCCAAGTCCTCCAGCTGGACAGCTTACCACAATTATCTTCTTGACCCTCAGCTTAGGATGAGACAACTATCAAATATGACTGATTGTTGTTCGGCATTGATCAACCACAAAGGCAGATATATGTGATTGTTATACCTCTGTCTTAATGACTGTGTTCTCTTTCTTTGCCAATCCCCAGACTCAAGCTGATCTTACAATTTTTAACCAAATTTTGGACAATTTCCTTAGTTGGTCAGATACCCAACTACTGTATATGTACATTTACTGACTAATAATACTATATGGCAACAACAGTAAAATGATGCTCCAAGACGAGAGAATCACACTGTTTTAACTAAGCTTCTAGACAGGAAAATTTACTGTTACAGCACAACTTCAAATCACTGGACACAGCAATGTAAAAACTGTTTCAAATAGGCCCTACATATTGATATATAGGTACATATTCAGCAAACATACATGTACATGTGTCTGATTTACAGGAAGTGATAATTTGAGAACAAACACAAGCAAAGCTTTTCTTTTGAGAGAGAATGCAAAGGAATTAGGAGCAAGCACATTAAAACAAAGTAATTCACAGAATCTGCCAAGATGTTTGCTGGAGTACTAATGTGGCAAATTTTAGTACATTGTACATTTCTTAAACATAAATGCATACATGTGGTGTGTCAAAATCAAGCAAATGCACATCTTGGTGCTTTTACCTTAATTCCATCACTGAAGTACAATTTTTCTTTAAAAAAGAAAGAAACAAGTTTACACTGTTGAAATTTCACTCTGAAACTTAGATCAGTGCTATGGATTGGTGGTATCACAAATTTCTCAGGCTTTCAAACTCAGTATGATCCGCAATCACAACCGTGCTATTTCACTAAAATCTGTTTTGCCTCATTGGGACACACCACATCACCAATACCATTTATATAATTTCATGCATAAACATGAAAAAGGTTTTGCTTGGCAAAGATGGCATTTGTACAGAAGTCCATTAGCACCAAGCAAAAAAATATTTCAAATTCGTTGTTACGAATTCTCAAGCCGTTATTACGGATTTGCATTTCGTTATTAAGGATTCGCAATCCATTATGACGAATTCGGAATCACAATCTGATGTTATTGGTGTATTACTTGTGTAAATAATGTGTGTACATAACGGATTGCGAATCTGTCATAATGGATTGCGAGTCCGTAATTCAATGAATTGGGAATCTGTAACAAAGGATTGCCAATCCTTAATAATGGATTAAAAACAGATTTCCAATCTGTAGTAACGGATTTAAAATATGTTCGTTTGGTGCTAATGGGCTCATGTACATGTACATTTAAAATCAAAAAGGATTTTCTTTTGCACTAATTTTGTAACAAAACTTTCAGCAAGTGATGTACAGTACTTGTACAATGTAAAATCATACAAGTTTTGGATCACTGTCCTCTTCTTCTTCAAAGATTAAATTTTCTTTGGCCTTGACGACAATAGTCTTACAGGTCCAAGTACATGTACATGTACAAGTAACTGCATGAGTGCTTTATATTCCAGACGTGTATCTAGCCGTTTCTTGAAAGACAGCAATTAAACGAAAGCAAGAAGGGATAAATATTGCTGTAAGCTATGTTACACACCATTAACATAAACAAATCCTGCAATATGATAACAGATTTTGCTTGGCTTGGCTTTGAAAAACAAGTTTCTATTCGTTCCCAGTCTCAGCTCTGGCATACTTGTATATGATGCAAATTAATGTGGTAAGCCAACATAAGAAACATCTGAGTCCTTTGTTTTAGTGTACATAAAACAGAGAAATGTGGAGGCATTGCTTAAATTAGAAGTGAAAAATACCGACTCACTCACAACAAGGGCTAACTCCACTGAACCTAATCGTTGGCAGTTAACGGAAGATAAATGATACTTGAGAAATTCTTTTTATGAACACAGCTGCATTTCCACATACATGTAACAGTACTTTGGGAAATCACACGCCCTTATTGGGCACTGGTATTTTATCCAAGAGGTTTACAAGGTCCTGGAAAGCTATTTTCCCTATTTTGCTTAATTTTCTGTAGGGGGAAATGGAAAAATCTATTGACTATTTTGCAGGAACTTGTCTTAAATTTAATCTTGCTCCGTTTGAAATGAGCAGGATAGCATGGCAAACAGAAGAACTATCAATAGTGATATCAGCGGTGACTGGATTTTGCGTGCAATGCCTTGAGGACAAAATGAGTGTTCTTGCATGGTCAAAAAGATGAGGTGGCTTTCACTGACGTTTTCACCTTGCAAAAACAACTTACTGATGGCTTGCAGGGATCACACTGAAAGTAAAGCAGGGTACGGTACTTTCTCTTTGGAAGAGGAGAGAATAGCACAAACTAAATGGCACACAATCAAAAAAAAAAAAGCTTTTTCCTGCATAAAATCAATTTCGTATTTAATGCTAACTCCCTAGAGGTGTATGAAAAATCATATTGAAATCAGAGGATTTAGCCCTCTATGCAGTAGAGATTAATTAAAGATATAAATTTCTTTTGCAGACACCATACATGTACATGTACAAAAGAAAACAACAATTTCTCACAGTGACACAAATATCAAGAAATTTACACGTAAATGTAAGCTTATCTAATTGCATTGCTGAAAAAAGTGAGGGTTTAAATGGTTACAAATGTACAGAGTGGATTTTAATGACTTTAAATGTAGGATAATTGCGCAGCTTGGGTATTTTCCTTCTTTCTTGCCAATACATGTATAGGAATGCATACAATGTAACATGGTGAAATGGAGCAACATTAATACACTGCACACCCCCCTCACCTACATGTACATGTACACACTTTTACAGGTACTGTATCGGAACAGGCAGGTGCCAACTTAATGTCCAGGTATATGGCAGAAGACGGTACAATTAAAAACCCAACACACATGCTCATCTGCAGGCCAACAACATTAATGTACACATGGGTGCATGCTCAGGCTGGCTAACCTACACAAAGACTACCAGTGCATATAGGCTGATATTCAAATTGTATTCATTGATTTTGTGGCATTAATGATTACAGCGTATGTACATGTTCATGTAAGAGAAGGCATGTGCTAATTCTTTGGCTCAATACCAGCCTGAGCATATTTTGATACCTACAGACGTACATGAACATGTACCTGAACATTGTACATGTTGGTAAAAAAAAATGCATAAGATTTTTTTTCAAGTTAAATTTCAGGTCTTAACATCTCATCGGGTTATTCTAAATTAGCACTGTGCACCAGTGCACAGGCGCATTTCTCTCATGTTAATGCACTGTCAACTGAAAATCATGTGCATCAAATGAGTTCAGTGGTTCCCAACAGTTGGCTCCACATTCTGATGAGACCACTACTGCTGAGTGCTTTACTAGTGATACAATGTATCAACTCATGATGAAATAATTTCTGCCAACAGCTTTATTACCTACTGTGATAATTTCATATGATTGCTTGTACATTAGTGTAGATGTAGGAAGCCACACAAAGGCAAAAGCGTAACAACAGGACAAAAAGAAGTGAGTAAATATTCAGCATACCTGTACATGTACTCACAGTAAATGTTTGAAAAATATGTAGAGCTAACAACAAAAGGTGCCATTCACATGGCCAGAATATGAGCAAAGATGCCATTTTGTAATCATTTTCTCTTCAAAATGTAAACGAAAGCCTTGGGTAAAGTGACTTCCACAGAGGATTTTAGGTTGAATACATGTAGCTGGTGATTTTACATACTTGCATCCCTGCATTTAGGATCAATATCTACATACACACGCATCTGCAATACACACACACAGAATACAACCAAGAAGTAGTCTATTAAATCAATACGATGCATGTACACGTTTTCAACTCCCTCGCTACACAAACATCTCAACTGATTGGATTTCTGCCACCCACCTGCCTCTGTGTACTTGAGACCGTGTTGATGTGATGCCCCTTCTTCCTGCTTGGGAGGGGGCCAGATGGGTTCCAGCTTGCCCGGGGAGGATGCGATTGGGATGCCGTTTGGATGGCCCGAGTGCTGGGCATGCTGGGCCCAGCAGTACATGGCATCCAACTGGGTGGGAAGTGAAAAAATATCAAATTTTGGAGGATTTTTGCAGGATTGAGGAAGGTGCAACATGGCTTATACATGTAAGTTACTGGATCAGACAAATTGAGCCTTAAGTGTAATTTTTCTTTCGTCTGTTTCAGTTTGCATTAGACGGGGTAAATCAAGTGCTTTGTTTTGATGTATCACATAGATGTACATCAAAACATATAGACATGATAGACATGCACTTGTATGGGGGAAAATTGCTGTGGGTTCCCACTGATTTATACTGTCCAACTGGGCCTTTTTAATCAACAGGGGCTCTGGTGACTTGAGGCTCATTTTATCAGGTTGGATCACATACAACTTCACATGGGGCTTGATGTTACTTAAAAGTTCAGTCACAGTGTGTGTCATTGCCATCTGTACAATGTACGTGTAAGAGCTAGGAAGCATGACAAGCACTGTGAGTAGGCCAAATGTCAGATATTTTGGGAAATAGCCTTCTTTTGATCGCAGTTAATCAGTTTTAGACACCACATTTAAAAATTGGTGCGAGTTTGGGGGTGGAGAAAAATCATCCAGCAGAGAGGTTGTAACAATGACAATAAAATTAAAAGGTATGAGCACTCTCCTAAATAACTGCAATCATGGGAAACTTACACTTTGTTTTTCTTTGTTCTCAACTGACAAAGAAGAAACGTAAGACTGAATGAATCTTTGCAAACCTGGACTTTTTTGTAAGCAAGCATCTGACATCTGGAAAAAACCTGGAAAAATCACACCCCTGCACAGCATACTAATAAGCTGTAAAGATCATAGCAAGGATTCCACTTCACATAATTGTACATGTACCTTGAATTTGTCAGTGCCGGTTTCTGCCTCCAGGGGTTGTATGACTCCTATATCCAGAAGGCAAGAACACAGAAGCAAAATGGATGCGCGGCCCTCAGAGGATGGAGAGGTGACGGCAGAGGAGGGCGTGGCCTCGTCGGGACTGGGGCTGATCATTGTTGAGCACAGCCAGTCCACTAGCCTACGACCTACAGCAGGGGTCACGACAAGTTCGAATTACAGAGTAATCTAGCGAGCAGATACATGTACATGTAGAAGCCATTACTGCAGTGGCACCTTGCTCTCATTAAGGTGGTGCGCATACTCTGGACAAGTGTAATAGGATGTTGTGTCTTGCTGTGCACATGCATGCCTCATGTTCAAGAACGTGCAAGTGAGATGTCTCGGGAGAGAAAATGGTATCTCTTTGGATCAGTCCATACTGTATCCAGAGGGTGAGAATAGACCTCCACATGTACATGTATGATGTCAAGAGTGCTCGAATAATGTTGTCTTTTTGCCTATAATTGATCAAGGTCAGATGTGCCGTTTGCTGCAGAGTGTCATCACCATTTGGTTGTGACAAATAAAGTCAACAGTCAAAAATGTTTGATGCCAAAGTGAGATGAGTGAGGGACTATCAGTGTCAGTGATGTATTTTAATTGTTGCCATCGGACTGGTTTGGAATAAACCAACCCATTGAAACTTTTTAAGATACATACATGTACATGAACATATGATCTTTTTGGCATTATTCAAACATATCAGAAGTACATGTACAAATATCTGGGTTTTTCCCTTTGCTTAATTTGTTTAAGGCTGTCTATGACTACATGAGAACAACAATTAGGATAAATCCTAAATGGGTGCTGAAGGTACTACTATACATGTACATGTACACCTGTTTTCAGGGCAATCTGGAGGAGAGTTGTATTTGATGATTAATTGAGCTGATTTTTGTGTGGATGACCCTATCATGATAAACAGAGAGCCACTTGCCTTTTTACTAAAAAGAAAAAAAAACGGGAGAAGACAAATATGAAATGCAGACATTTGACGTCACCTGTTTTGGCAAAGCACAGTGTGAGAACTGAGACGCATGCCAACTAACACAGACGTGCCAGTGGACTGACCACCTCTTCAAACACTGCTACATGTACGTGTAGGGTTGCATTTATGCAGTGTCTTCACAGCAACACAAGGAATGTGATACCCATGAATTCCAGTCTAACAGCTGGGATAATTGCTTCCATCTTGGTTTGTTTGTTTATCACTCCAGTGCTGATTTAATCACCTACAGGTTCAATAAACGCTCGCTAAACATGAAGTACATGTACATTGTACACTGTGCTTTTAAATGTTAGACATACATGTATCAGTGTAAAATAGTGCAATACAGTCCATGTTTGAATGTATGTACATGTAGTTGACTTTGTGCATCACTCATGTGATAAATGCATAGATATCTGAATCTGAACTTATAAAGAAAAAAAGCTCTGTGCCTTGGGTGGAATTTACAAAAACACAGGCTATTATAAAACAGAATGAAGTGATTTGAATTTGTGCATAAAATTCCTTACCAGTGAAGTTTTCTTGATCTTTGAAGTTGATCTTGAAGTCCAGCTTGGCATGTTTTTCCCTCTCTGGGCTGATCAGCATGGACTTTCTGGGTGACAGAATCTTTGGACTTCTCACTGGAGATGAGTAAGGCGAGGTCAGTGGGGAAAGTTCCCGCCACAGACGACCGTCTGACCTGCTCCGCGTCATGCGCTGCCGCTGTGGAAAGCCATGTTCTTTAGCTGCAGGCTGGGCAGAAAATGTGAAGAGCGTCTCCGGTCTTTTTAGTCCTCCTTCCTGTTTTGAGGATCCGGTGGGAGAGGAGACTGCCAGTGGACTTGCCTCAAAATGCACTTTGGAACGTTTCGGATCACTCTGAGGTCTAACGGTTGTGTTTGAGGCATGGCTCATGCTTGCTGGGGGCTCTGAGTCAATTCTGGTGGCTTGTTCGCTCTCCGTGAGCTGATGCGCGAGGTGTGTGGACTCATCGAAGGAGATGGACCGCGTCTTCAGGGGCGTCTGCCACTTGTCAGAGAAGGAAAAGAGCTTGGCCACTGGTGGCACTCTTGTTATGAAGTCCCTCCACTGTGGGAATTTGGATGAGGCATCCTCGGTTTCAAATGCACACGCGGGACTCGATTCCTCCCCTTCGTCCCCTGTGAATTTTTTCCTCTTGTGGCCCGACAGGGATGACATACTCTTTGATCTGCGCTTCGGCGAGCCACTCTCAGCCTCAAAGGGCAAAGGCTCAGCAACTGCCCGTTCCCTGGTACTACTCTCATTCGCCCTCGTTGCTGCCCCTCCACCTTCAGCCTCAGTCTGGTGTTGTGAAGGAAACACAGCAGCGGGGCTTGATCCTGCTAAGTTGAGAGACCCCTTCATGGATTCTGACAATTCATCACTGACAATATCATCCAGAGCGTCCTTACTGTCGTTGAGTTCCGAACGGCAGTCAAAGTACTCACTGGGACTTTCGGCACCAAAATAACTATCCCTCTCCCGCAATCTAGCCACAGATGGGATCATCAACTGCCCAAACTCACCACTGGAAGTGCTAGGGGTGCTGGTGTTGCTGTCCTTTAAAGTTCCTTGATCTGATGGGCTGATAACGATGGGAGATTTAGGTACCTGTATATTCAGCTCATGGGATGCCTCCTGATTGCCTTCAATGGTGGGCGTTTTTGAGGGAACCGTGGTTCTGGTTGGGATAGGTAAGGCCAAGTCTGGTGCATATTTTAAGAGGAACCGATGCTGACTTGCTTCTGTGCTTGAATCATTGTTTAGGGTGCCGGTGGTCTGACCAGTTTTTTGTTCACTGGGATCTCCTTTTGAGTCTTCAGGCTCTGTTGAGATGACAGCTATTTCTTCCAGTGTGAGCATGGGAAGACTTGATTTCCAGAACAACAGTTGACTGAAGGATTCCAATGTGAGGGATAGAGGCCTCTCAGGCACAGATGTGCTGAGACGGGGCTCGGCAGCAGAAATTGGTGAGCTGTTTATGATCTCTTCCCCGTCCTGCCCAACAGATGACACTGACCCCATATCGGAGTGGTTGTCAGTTTCTCCTGCACCTTCATCTGAACGTTCTGCGTCTTCCTCACTCTCCTTGAAAACTGCATTATGAACATCTGCTGAAGCAAATGAGACTACCGGATTTGTCTTGCTGTCTGCCATGGCTATTTCCTCTGCAATACCCGTGCCTTGCTGCTCCGCTTCAGTAATATTCAATGGGATCACTCCCTCAGCACAATCTTTGGTTCTCGCCGTGGGGATTTGCCCGCCTGGGTCATGAGGCCCCTCGGTTTTGAATGAATCTGTCATTATGGCTACATTAATGTCTTCGGTGTCCAAATTAGGATCCTGTGTTGTACCCCTCTGGGCCCCCATGCCATCACCCTCTGAGGTGTCAGATGACGGCTGATGACTCGGACTGTCTGAGTGACTCGGAATGTCTGAGTTTTGTGTGTCAGTACAATTGCCAAGGGTTGTAAAAGGACCCACTTCACCGATAGTGTGCACTCCATTTGATACTGACGTGAGCATGCTTCCTTGAAATTTGTCCTGCGTTTGCTCAGTATCAATCTCTTTGATGCACATTGCATTTACTTTCTGTAGAGCTTCTACATTTGGTTTGGAATCACCGTTGTTGAAATGAGGCTTAGGGGTTGAATCGGCTTCAAGTGTTGCCAAAGGCAATGGGTCTCTTTTATCATGAATACTCTCCATCTCAACTGAAATGATCTCATCCTCAGTGGTGATGATCAATGTTCTGGTATCGCGCTTTTCAAGTTTGGGGGGACGGGCCAAATCCGCATCTACTGATCCTGAAATGCTGCTTGCTACGTCTGATGAAGCATTTCTCCCAACTGCTTGAGCTTCACACCGTAACCGCTCGCTAGATCGGTGGACACCTGTTTCCTCTGACTCGTCACGAACTTGTCTCTTTCTTTCGCTTGGCTGCTCGGCAGTACCCTCGCTGATGGCCTGATGCTTTGCTTCAGTCTCTGCACATTGCAAATATGCACTCACACCGGTGTTGCCAGAATGTTGACTAGGTGTTGTGTCTGACACGTTATGAGTCTGTACTACAGCTGTGCTCACATGTGCACTCTTGCCATTTGTGTCTGCAGTGAGTTCCCTGTCTATTTTCACTGATCCCGTGGCATTCAGATTTGTCGGTATTTCATCAGTCACGTCTGCTCTTCCAGTGCTCTGGGAAGTTTTTTCAGTAGTTTCTCCACCAGTTACATCCCTCTGCCCACGAATGTGTTGTTCTGTGGATGCTGGAATGTCATGGGATTGCTTCAGCTGTCCAATATTTTCATTGGTTACCAATCCGGCTGGCTGACTGCTTTTATTAGTATTACTTTCAGTGCTTAAGTCAGAGTCACACGCATCGATATCACTGCCACTGCTTTGGCAGACCACAACAGACCCTGGCTCTGTCAAGGGGAAGGTATTTTTCAGTGCCTTAACCTCTGACACAATGTCCCCATTGTCTGTTCTTGCAGTTGGGGCTTGCCCTCCTGTACCCAAGTTTGCCAATGGCAATGGCTGGGTTTGATTGCCAGATTGGGTTGCAGTGCCCGATGATTGTTTCTGCCCCAGTTCTGCCGTTCTCTCGTCCGATTTCAGATGTTTATCCCAGCTCGGGTTACCCCCTCCTGAATTTGGGCTCATATGGGGGTCAGACAGTGGTGTGTCATTGTTCGTCTCTACTTGCCCTTGCTGGGCAGGTGTACTCTTATCCTCCCCATTTTCACTATGCACACACCCAACAGGGAGATGTCCATCGCAAGATCTACATGTATTTCCATCTCCCTGCTGCATTTTCTTCACACCACTTGGCAACCTGACCATATCTTCAACACTGCCTAGGGTCTGTTCATTGCTACTTGGCAAGACTGGCAAAGTACCGGGCGCATCAGCGGTCCCATTTGTCCCATCTGGACCTCGTCGAGCATGTTGATCTTTTGCTTTGGGTGGCAGTGCCGATGCACCATCCCCATGTTTGGTGTTCTCGTTTCCCATATTCCTACGTGTAATAGCAAGCACTGCGTCATCTTTTGTAGCTGAAGTGACACCAGAGAATCCTTGGGACATACCGGTACCAGGTTACTTCACTGGACCACTATCACAGCACTAGGATGCAACAGCCAGAATGTCCCAATAACCAAATAGCCGTCCACTCAAGCGTTGCACACTTCTTTACAAACAATCCTTTTAACCCTCAGGTGGGGCGTCCAACCATGGCACAAGAATTCAGTTGAAATCCAGAGAAAAGTGCAAACATATATGTACAGGACAATGGTACAGGTAAAAGTACACGTACTATATATTTAAGGCAAAGTGAACACTACTGCAATGCTGCACATATGCCTGCACTCGTGCCCAACCGTCCTCTTTCAGTATTCTCGTCATTAAGTGTTGACAGTGTTCTGGGCCAGTTACTGCCATCTTAATTTCCTGTTACAAGGTTCTGTCCATTGTGCCTACAGCTGTCCAATTTCAGGCAATCCCGGGGTAATCCAGTGAGGCACTGTTCACGTTCGCAGACCTGTGACAAACGAGCCAAGAAACGAGTCAATGATTTCTTGAGTACATGCAATGTCCCATGTGTGTACAATTTCTAAGTGTACATGTGGTTGTACACAGACAGACATACCCAGAATGCTGCCTAACTGTGTAGGCCTACTGAAATTATGCCACATGTACAGGTAATTTGTTTCATTAAATGTTCCATTAACCTTAAAATTGTTACTTACACATGTATACATGTATGTTAGAACTGAAGTTCTGCCATATGTATACAGGTACATGTAGCCCTTTGCAGGACTGTACGGGTACATTGTGACACAAACTTTAAAAATATTTGGCATTGTCTTTCGAATATTTCCACACATCAACAGACCTATATCTACATTCGTCTACTGTTCACCGAGAACATTGATTTACATTTACAATGTACATCAAAACAAGAGCTGCACAGAGAACAGATGAACCTATTGTATACATTTACATGTCAGCAAAAGCGTACCACTGCAGTTAACATGGAAAATTGCCAATTGTTTATTCAAACATAAAAAGTAAGAAATAAAAAAAGAAACTGATACAAAAAGGCAATGTTGCCATCCATTATAATCCTTAAGTGTGCATTATGTTCGACACACCTGCCCGCCCCAGGTCTTCGGTTCTATCTTGACCCTGTGCTGTACCTTGCATACACGTACAGTATTGCACACTCATGCACTTTAACCATGGCAGGTCCATTCCACATAAGATTACCGCATAGTCTCTCTTTAGCCTGCATTCCTGAGCAAATCCCTCATCAAAATGCATTCAGAGGCCTGAACTGCATGGCATTCAATGCAAAAATGTCCCTGTTTACACACATAACAGTGACTGTATGACACCCCATGGAACCTTAACCTCCAATTGTGAAAAACATGTAGGTCTCGTCTCTATTGTGCACTTGTATGAAACCACAGTATGAGCATTGCTGCTTTGACGCAAAGGGGGGGGGAGAATAATGACAGATTGCATAATGCTACATGTACATGTATATATTTACAAGTACAAGGCACTCACTCATGCATACTGTAGCAAGTGCTGGGAAGTTTCATTTGATTCAAGAGATTTGACATATGTACAGTACATGTACATGTACCTCGTCAATCAACACACAGAAGTTCAACACATCTCAATCATGAGATTTCTTGAACTGAGTGGCCTGGATGAGTTTATAAAGTTCAATACGCAGACCGTACACTGTACATGTACATAAAAAGGTAAAGGTATGTACATGTATGTACATGTGCAGTGTATGCATGGTTTGCATAATGCAGGTACATGTACAAATTTACACATTACATGTATATAGTATACAATGTACATAGTGTACATGCACAAGGCAGAACCATTTTTATGCCCCTAAGTACGCTATCTATGAAGCAACCTATAAGAAAAATTACAATTCTGGACTATGAAAATTTGTACTAAACATACTCATGTACATGTGCTTTCCATGAAAAAAAATTATTAAAATCACCCCCCCCAAAAAAAATCCAAATTTCAAATATATATAAACGGGCCGAATGATGGAATGTTTTGCCCGTCACAAATACTATGAATTAAAATCAACACACATGTACACGTCCATTACACAAAGATATTGAATCCTTCTACATGTAAATGCCAGCTTCAAATCTGTTTTGATTTACTCACATTTACTTGCTCTATGGTGTATTAAATTCTATCAACAGAAAACCTGTTTAAGAACATGACATTTATGTACAGCAGGCAAATTCTTGAAGAAATAGTACTTCTCAGTCCACACATCGCTCACTCCAAATCCATCCAACTCCAGCCAAATGTCATTACTTCCTTCCAACTTCCCAGTATGACATCATCATCTCTATTGCAGATGCTCAACTGACGACTGGTGATCAGTCAAGCATGTCTGTGCATCTCTTACACCCTAGCAGCCTTGGGGATTCTCTCCATCAGACTTTTTAACACGCCTCTTATCACTCAGCATTCAATGCATTTGGACAATACACATACCGGCACATGTACATATACATGTGCAATGTTGTACATGTATGCATACTGGTATACACTGTACTGTACTCAGAGCTCTCCAACTCTCTGTAAAAATTGACGTTAAAGTTGGGTGCATTAATGTTTGTGTAAAAATCTAAGGAAAATGCAAAATTTCATATGACAATGCATACTGTACATGTACATGTATGCCTTCCAAGGTCGACACAAATCAGAAAGTATCAGAAGATAATGAGCATTTCTTTCACGTTGTGCTGTTTACTGTAAACAAATATCAATAAGCATCAACAAATACAAGTATTTTTATGTGTACATGTACATAACGTGTTTACTGTTTACAATACTAATTACATGTACCTGTACATGTACATGTAGACTCCTACTGGTACATGCAACTTATTTTGCAATGATCCTTGAGAGTTAAATTTTAAGTCACAAAGTATAAGTACATGTATGAAGACAACAATGCCACTCATACATGTACAGCCGAGCTGGCTACTGAATAGAGGGCCGTGCAGTAGATACATGTAAATTGCATGTACATGTACGTGTACCATATTTTGAGGGAAATGTAGAACTAACGACCAAAAGGAAAAATAAAAGTATTTAAAAAGAATTTCACATTTCTGTAGTTACATGTAACCGGGTCTTATAAGGTACATATACATGTGTTGACTTGGAGAGGGTAGTGCGTCCCTAATAACCCTAAAAATATTCCTCAATGAGCCCTGTACAGTACTTTGAAGTAAATGTTGCCTCCAGACATTGTGTCAACAGTAGCTGTCTGCCATCATGATGCTGTCTGTGAGCTGCAGCATTACTGTACACACGCTCATCTACATGTACCGGTATACATGCATGTACATGGTAAACACGACTTTGTTGATTTCAATTTTCATGTAATGATTCCAACTCACAGGGAAAGGATAATTTTTCATGAGAAAATGCTTCTGTTATGAGCTTCCTACAACAGTACATTTATGATCATTGCATTCTTAGGGTTACATGTATGTACACCTGCAGGTGTCAGTACAGGTTTGTAATGCCACAAATCTCAAGGTATTAAAAAATTGGGTAAACAGCACACTGTGCATCCCTCAAGAATATAGATAAAAACAGCAAATACATACACGTATGTATACATACTCGTACACGTACATTCAGCATGTTGATTACTTACCAGTACATGTGTACCGGTATGTAACCCATGCTTTATGTACTTGGGTAGGTCAACTGCATTTGATTTGACACTCATGTGACATTACATGTTTACTCGTGCCTGGTCCAAGTAATCGACCCACCAAGCTGGTTCCTTTCATGAAGGGGCAAACAAACGACTGCTTACATGTACATACATGTATGTAGTTCAATGATGCAAAGTGAGGTCAATGCCGTTGTTACTAGTTCAGAAAATTATTGAACAAAGAGGCCAATTTGCTCAAGTCAAGTGATTTATGTGAAATTAATTGAAATCTCCATAATGTTTTGACCCAGTTGGGAACCCAAAGTGATCTGAGATCATTCGTTTACTCTCACATGTTGTAAATGCTCAGCTTTCCCTGATCAGCTGATTGGAGAGGCCTAAGTAAACATGGAAGACTGACTGAACACACTCTCATTACTGCTTCTAGGTGAAGGGAAAAAAAAGCATCTTTAAATAGTTTTGCCGCCTTCTTCCTTTTTGGTGGTTGCCTGGATTTTTGTCATTTTTACCTCAGTAAATATGATTGATTTTAAAAGGAGAAAAAAAGCAAAAAATCAGCAAATCCATCCGAAATGAAATATTTGTGAGTGGGAACATCCATATTAACTTGATACTATGCTGCTCACCGTGCACTTTGCACATTTGACTGAGCAATTTCGTGACCTAAAATGACCACAAGATGTGACAACATTGAGAGGTTCTATGCCCCCCCTCGCTTTCTGAACATGGACATGCTAGTTTGTCACATGTACATGAATGATTTATTTTAAGATGCACAAAAAAGAAACTTAACAATAAGGATGTAAACAAATCTGACTTTAGAGAATTTTAACAGGAGATTTTTAAAAAGTTTAAAATCAAAACATAAAATGCTATGCTTGCTTTTGCTGCACAAAGGTTGGAATGAGAAACAATTTTGGGTCAAGACACATGACTATTTAAAACATCCTGAAATTTCATTATAATACAATTACAAATTTATGCATAACAATCCATGGAGAAGCAAAGGTATATTATGTACATGTACTTACAAGAAAGAGTATACACAGACATCATTTGATGTCCTGTGCACAAGCAAAACTCTTTTCCTTGCTAAATTTGACTTTTAAGGACATGTTATCACTTTCTGATTGCTAGTAAACCACTGGTAGGGAAACTAATGATGTCCGCGTGGCACACCTCGACATTCACTTGACTTTCCTTCAACAGCGTTGCCAAACCTCTTTCTTGAAAAAGGTAAAACTCACTTGGTTAAGAATTGGTACATGTCTTTATTATACTGGTACATGTACATGTAGTACATGGTGTTGAACCTTTTTGAAAAATTTCTGTCAATTCAGTGTCGTGAAATTTCATTTAAAAATTCCAAACTTTTGACATCCGGAAATTGGGCTCAAATTCTATACCCAGCAAGAAATGAGACCGAGGGGTACCCCCCAACATGTCCAATCCCTATACACATTCCAGACTATTGTTACTTAACACATCCCCCAAGATGCCTGAAAGGAATTCCCCAGATTCCTACAAGACAATGACCAACACAAAGCAGGGGGGGTTCTCTCCGTCTCATACCTTGCTGCATACATGTATGTCAAATTTAGCTCAGTGTTCTCTAACCTGGCACACTTGAAAAACCCTTTTAGTAAACATATATTCTATTGAAACTGACTTACACTCAAATCTCCATCCACAAGTTTGTCAGGAAATTCTTTTCCTTTCTGGGGGCACATTTTGAAAGAATTCATTTCGCATGTCAGCAAACAAAATTGCAAAATCGGGGGGAGATAAAATTTCATCCCAACTCTGAAGCAGACACAGGTAAGTAAAATTGAGGTTTATGAATCAGAATATTAGGAGTTTGCTTAAGTTTCAGTTATTGTAAAATTTGAGCTAAAAAGATTGCTCTACTCAAACACTAGAAGCAAAAAATGAAAGTGCACCTTGGGCCGCGCCACATATTTAGGCTACATGTACATCAACAATTAATTCCAGGCCTTTTGTGTGGAATGTTGCTTCTCCTCTTTTTCAAATTTTGTTCTGGATCGGTCGATCTACGACTGTTCAAGTACAAAATTAGAAAAAGATAAGAACTAAATGCTCCACTTAGTAATAATATTGCATTGTCAATAAATACAGTGGAATGCTTCAATGTTATAATACCAGCTAGACCTTGTATGATATAGGCGCTGTACATGTACATGTATGTACATGTCTGTACATGTATGTGTCATTGCACGATCTCGGATGCGCACACTGTGGACATGTAATTGTGATGTTGTTTGTTACCAATTTTTGCATGCACCTGTACGTAGTGCTTTTTTAACTGCTAGGTACCAGTTAATCCGGGGGTATATTGAAAAACACGCTTCCATATGCGGCACAAGAAAATCTGATGGAAATGGACTTTAATGGAAAGAAATTGCATTTTTGTGTTCAATTCAATTTCAGTTTGTTAAAAATGCTGAATTAAGTCAGAAGACAAAGTAACCGATTTCAGTTTAGGCTGCATTTAATAAATTACTTTTTATTCTCTTTTACTTTAAATATACACTTTGAATTTCTACTGAGCACCTCGACACAAGACCTGTAGACTGTAGTGAAAGATTTTCTAAGAAAATGCTGAAATTTAGGTCGGTGAAATTTAAATGAGATTCCAAAAATATAGTGTACACTTCATTACACATGTATAGTGTGATCAGGCCACAAATTTGTTTGCCTATTTTTTTCTTTATTTTCACAGGCTAAAATTTCAGTCCCGAATCCCATATTTGACCTTAAAGTTAAATTATACATCACATTAAGGCTCTCTTTATAAATGCTCTTTACAATGGTATCAAATTCAAGTATATAAAACAATATTCAATTTCTGGTCACATACCTACTGTATTATTCGCAGGCCTAACTTCAAGATATATAGGTCTACATACAAGCTGCGGTGGTATGGTAAGTACTAGGGCTACCATGCCTACTACTAGTACTAGGCTATGGTTTGATTACGAATTGCGGCTTGTGTACTGTAGAGTACATGTACAGTACGTGCGCACTTAACACATGGACAATATTGGTACCTACCGGTACACAAGACTATCGGCTGTGTGATGTACATGTACATCATGTAGACTCAGTCTACAAAATACAGTCCGTCTTGGCAATGCTTGGGGTGTACCCTCCGCCTCCGGACATGAAACAAGTGAACGACAACATGAAATTTTACACTCACAGGCACGGCTTGGAGACACGACGACCTGCAAGGTAGCAGGTAAGCATTTATACCGCATAGGTGTGTTTTTATTCCTCCATATTCAGGCCCTGACGTGTAGGCCCTCGTACGAGACACACTTTTCGGTCTGGATATGATCCAGGAAGGTTTGAGCATGTGGCCGCAAGAGGGCGTCATACCGACTAGCCGTTGTCCGGTCCACGACGTGTTAACTTGCGCTGGTTGAGCAGTGGTTGCTTTATTGAGATGAGGGTTGCACAGGTCAATCCTGGCCAAATCTCATTTGGCCCCGGCCCCCTCTTAGTGTTTGGTGTCGATGCCATGCCAGCGCTCCAGCTCGAGAAGACAACATTGCGCGGGGGATTTGGGTACCTGGGGAGGGAACTATTCATGTATATCTGTTGATGTGTGTCCCAACAATTTGGGCCAGGATTGTATAGAACGTCATCATTCTAATCTATAAAGTACAACGGTGGGATCCCTGATCAAGTGTCCGAGAATACTGTGCTCGCCGGGGAGTTGCTTTTATACTGATTAGAATTACCTTCACTTTAATTCCACGCCGTGATGTTATATTGAACATATGTCATGCAATGCTCATTGCAATTATCACCTATCACATATTTCATATCACTGTAATAAAATAACAAGTAGGCTAATATTAGAAATATCTGGCAAATCGACGACAACTAAGTCATAATATAACGTTACACTGTGCCAGCTTTTATCTTTACACTCCAGGGCCTTGACCTTGAGGATAAAGCCTTGGCCTTGGTCTTAATTAAGGCTTGCGGGTCAAAGTCTGGGCCTTGAGTTCAAATCAGACTGACATATGTGAAATGGTATGAAGGATGACGTAATCATAATTATGATATATAAATAAAGTGTGAGTGTTCACTGACAACGTTGTCAGTGAACACTCACACTTTATTTATATATCATAATTATCAACCCATCTTCCATCTTTATGCGAGTTACCTTTTGACAATCTGAATTGGCAAGTTTTTATTGAAAGGATATCTACATTCAATTTGTTTCATTGCAAACCTTCAAAATGCATCTTTCTGTCTCAGTACCCTTACTTCCAATTTTTGGTTCACTATTTTCACTATTCACTAAGGGTGTTTCATTGTCTTTTTTGATTCAGTGCTAACAAGTATATCCATATTCACGAATGCAACGGTCACACTAACCCGGGAAGAAAGCCTCAATGTAACATTGGACCATAAAAATGAAAGACCGTAAAAAATACGAAGAAACACACTGATGTATTCACGTAAACATTTCACACGACTGAAAATACGACAACTTGAGGTCTACAGTGTCGAAAATGAATTATAATATAACAGGAAAAGTGCTTATAGAGATGGAATTTGCCGTAAAGAGGTTCACTTCACAATACAATACGGCTGACGAGTTACACACCCAGATCCTCGTATCAACACCGCGTGTTTTTAGCAGAACAATTGTAAACTGTGCAGCAGAACTACACAGCAACATTCAGTGCAGTAAGGTTAATAAAATTGTTATCTCCTTAAAATTAGCAACAAAAAGCAGCGTCTCGGAGATGGCCGAGTGGTTAAGCTCACGGTTATCAGGTCATTAGACAGTGGGTTCGATTCCCAGTAGTGGCTTTTTTTATTTTCCCAAGCCTTGCTGTCAGTCAGTAGCCTATAAGAGACTCTACTTCACCCCTGCCAAATACCAACGGTACCTTAGCCCACGGGATAAGCTCTTCTGCTGGTACTGTCCGCGAAGTCCAGATGAGCACCTAAGTACAGGTTCGAGACGTATGGCCGACTCGGCGGCCAGGGCTTAGGGGCCTGTCTCGTTTCCTCCCTTGCATGGTCGCTCAGACTCTTTTTGGAGTTAAANCTTGGTCAACACCACATAACTTTTGCATTTTGCCCTCACCAATTTCTTTTTTTTTCTGAGCGCAAAACTCCCAAGGTAATTTTTTAGGTTGAATACATGGATTTTTTAAATCTATAATCTGAATTTGGGGCTTTTTATTTCAATGACAGCACACAATTAATTTGTTTTCACGTAAACCCTCAAAATGCACCTTTCTGTCTCAGTTGACCTCGCTTTCAACTTTTGTTTCACTGTTTTCAAAGGGTGCTTTTATAAATGCTTGGTTTTTTTTTTCACGGTAATACGCATTCCCATATTCAAGCAAAACAGCCACACTTTCCCAGTCAGGGATAGGAAGGGTGCAGGGTAGGGTTAGGGATAATACAGTAAGGGATAGGGATAGGGTTAGAGATAAGGTTAGGGATAATGGTTAGGGATACGGTTGGGGTTAGGGGTAGGGTTAGCGTTAGAAATAGGGTTAGGGATAATGCTTAGGGATAGGGTTAGGGGTAGGGATAAAGTTAAGGTTAGAGATAGGGTAAGGGATAATGGTTAGGGATAGGGTTGGGGTTAGGGGTAAGGTTAGGATAGGGTTAGAGATAAGGTTAGGGATAATGGTTAGGGATAGGGTCAGGGTTAGGAGTGTGGACAGGGTTAGGATTAGTGATAGGGAATAGGAATAATGGTTAGGGATAGGGTTAGGGGTAAGGTTGGGGATAGGGTTAGGGCTAGAAGTAGGGTTAGGGATATGGTTAGAGATCGGGTTAGGCATAATGGTTAGGGTTAGGGTTGGGGTTAGGGGTAGGGGTAGGGATAGGGTTAGAGATAGGATTAGGGATAATGAATAGGGTTAGGGTTGGGGTTAGGGGTAGGGTTAGGGATAGGGTTAGAGATAGGGTTGGGGATAGGGTTAGGGATAATGGTTAGGGATAGGGGTAGAGTTAGGAGTAAGGTTAGGGTTAGGGGTAGGGATAGGGTTGGAGGTAGGGATAGTGTTAGGGTTAGAGATAGGGAATAGGAATAATGGTTAGGGATAGGGTTGGGGTTAGGGGTAAGGATAGGGTTACAGATAGGGTTAGGGATAATGGTTAGGGTTAGGGTTGGGGTTAGGGGCAGGGTTAGGGATAGGGTTAGGGATAATGGTTAGGGATAGGGTT